ATATACAGGGTATTCAAAAAAAATGTATACACACTTTAAAAACATGTAAACTAAAGGGTGTATATATTTTTTTGGGACACCCTCTATATATCAGTGGAAGTGAAAAATCAATATTTTTCCTCATCCAAATAACCCTGGAACAAACTGTATTAAGCTCTTATTCTGTAGAATCTAAAACTTTAAAAAGGAACTGTGAACAATAGATATTTCTCTTAACCAATGAAGAGCATACTATTACCATATTTAACACAGATGACACAGTACTGATAGCAGATACGGAAGAGAAATTACAAAATCTCCTACAGAAGGCAGCGACAGAGAGTGAGAAGAAAGGACTAAGTATAAATTACAAGAAGATAAAATGCATGGTCATCAGTAAAAGGATGAGCCTGAAATGCAATTTGCAGGTTGGTAACACTAGAATCAAGCCCTAGATATTTAATCTAGGAAGCGTTTTCACAGAGGACAGTACAAGCGATACTGAGATCCATAGAAGTATTGGGATGGCCAAGGACGCATTCCAAAATCTGGGTAGAATATTGCGAGACAGGACGATTTCTTTGGTAACAAAGAAAAAGTGTACTGAGCTGTTACATGACATCTGTTGTTCGAGAGGATGCAACAAGGCAGGGGCTTATACTTAACATCAGGAAAAGGTAGCTGAAGTTTCTGGGACACATAATGATGAAAGAGGGCCTGGAGAATCTGATATTCACAGGTCGAATAGAGGGAAAGAGAGACAAGGGAAAAACAATCCATGACATACTTGGCAGGGTTAAGCAAGTGGGTGATAGAATGTGGTCTGGGAAGGAACTTGTTGAAAGTTGCAAGGGATAAAGGGAGGTGGAGAGCCATGATCGCCTAGGTCTGGAAGGACATGGCACATGAAAAAAAAAGAAGTCAATCTTCTTACCTTTTCTATATAAAAAGCATGAATATATTTTCTTGTACAATGGAATTTTCACTTTACTATACATGGAAAATGTAAAACAATCAGTTTCACAACAATGCATCTTCTTACTGACTTTATTTCTCTGTATAAATGTAGGTTTGTATATCTTTGGTCATTTCTTCTGTGAAAAACTATCAGCTATATATGACAAAGTAACATCTTAATACAAGTACACAAAGTTGCCTAAATATGTATAAGGGGAGCAGAAATTTTCTATGTATGAAAGGTATAAAGCAAATTTATTTAAATTAGTTCAATGCATAATCTTATTAAGATGATTTTAGAAATCAGTGTAAAATGTGGACTTGTATTTGGTTGCTTAAAAGGATTTATATTGCAGTATATCTGTGGGGGATGCATTGTGGTGCAATGGATAATGGCTTGGAATAAGAAATCAGAGAGCAATGACCCTTGGGAAAAGTATGAAACCATCTCTTCTCACCTCCAACTATTGGTTGAATAGTAGGACATTGGATTCTACAGGCTGGGTTGGCAATCAGTCTACTGCAGAAAGAAATGGCAACCTACTGCAGGAAAATCTTCTGCCTTGTCAGTCATGAATCGAAAGTGGTCTGATTGTCCAAGTGTGTATTATGTAACATATTTAGCAATGTAGCTTGACTATAGAGGGTCATGGATGATTGATCAAAGAATATGTGATACATTACAAATAACATGACTAAAACAAATATAAATATGAGCATTTGTGCACAGGTAATTTTTTTGTGATTTTCAAACATTTAGCACTTTACCACAAAGTCAAAGTAGAGTACAGCAAGCTATAATGTTGCTCAATTCTCCATATCCATCACCATCTTATACCAATTATCTTGAATAAAGCAAGACTATCAAGTCCCAAGTAAAAACCCATGTTGTGCTTTTTCTATTACTACCATTATTTCTATTACTAACATTAAATCACTGACCATTACACAATCTATTAATACTGCATTTAGTGTATGACTAATGATTACACTAATTCCTTTACCTAGACTTCATCCTATTTCCAACTATTCTTGCAGTCCAAATACTGACATTATCCTTTACCTGGCTCAAAGACAGATACAAAATAAAGATGCAGCGATAAAAGGAATTACAAACTTGCATCTTATCTTTCTCAAAGTTGGTTCTGGACTCGCAATCTCCTTCATTTTATACTTTTTCCCTACCATAGTATTTCTCCCTAATTGTTTTATTGTTCTCTCATCTTTTTATTTTTACATATAAATTTCACTTTCTACTTAACCCAAAACATTTAAGATTCTTGTGATATCTACCACATATATGCCATGTTTATGATACAACAGACTAGGATTCTTAACAGCATCTACTTTTGAGAGGAGTGTTTAAAAAGTAATTATAAAAGAAACCAGATGGTTATGTAACAGAGAATCAGGTCAGCCCAATAAAAGACTCTGGGTTGGTTGTATGCGGTGCTGTAAGCACCAGGAGTTGTGTCCTCTTCCACAATAAGCTGTTGGGAGAAGACCTTCTACTTAAAGTAGGTGGCGCTGCCTATTTGCATATGAATGATACTGGGCAGGTATTAGCCAATAGTCAGTGTGGGTCTGGGACAGCTATATAGCACCAGTGTTTTTCTCAGTCATGAGAGTGCTCTCGACGTGTGGACGCAAGACAAACAGGTTAATAAAAAAATAGCTTGAATAAATTTAATGTGTAAAATTTTATAAATATATGTTGTAAATACTGCCAAAATGAAACCTGACAGTTTATGAAAAGATACAGGTGTAAAATGGTTTTTAAATTTGTAAAAAAAAAACGCCCAGGTCTTACGGTCTGAAAACCTTCCAAAATAAATTTTGTGAACAGGTGAGGTTTCAAAAGATACATTTTTGGTATTCTTTTTATCAATAAGGAAAATAATTTATGTTATGTAAATTAAAAATATTGAATCCTATCTGAAGCTGGTTTGTGGCTATTTAAAAAATACAGTTTAAGGACCAGAAGGGTTTTTTTTTTTTTTTTTAATATTCACAGGCAAATGACTGTGGTCTGTTTCTGAAAATACTAAGTTGACAACAAAAAGAAAGGAAACTGAAAGCAGATTCCCAAAATAAGAGGTTTGAACTTTTCTAAAAATACAATATTTATCTCAATTTTGAAGTTCAGTTTAAAAATGAACTATTGTCTAAGTTATTCAGTGATGCTTGTGAATTTCGACTGTTGAATGAATGACAGTAAATATTTTTTTTTAAATATATAGATATAATTATTTTTAAATTTTTATGAGCCTAACAAATTGTAATTTTAAAACTTGTTATCTTGCCTAAGTGTAAGGAGCATAAAGGAAAATTTTGTGCAAACCTATTTGTAAAATTTGTATTTTATTGTAATGTTTTTTTTTATGTCACTGTAATGTTTGTTTGTTTCAAACATTTAGTTTACCTCATACAATACCTGGGATAAGAGATGTGTCATTCTCTTTTCCTGTCCCAACAAAATCTTTTTTAATTAAACCAGATTGTCCGTAATAAAGAATTAAAATGGCAACTTTATTCTGAAAAGATTCATTATATAGTTGTTTTTTTTTTTGTTTGTTTTTTTGGGTTTTTTTTGCAAGTGCTAAAAAGCAACTGATATGATATTAAAAGTAAAAAAAAAAAAATGGATTTAATCAGCTTATCTGTGTTAAGTAACTGAGGTTATTACAGTTAGTAAATTAAACCGAACCGTAAACAATGCATATGCAATATTGATCAAGTGCGATCGAACGTAAAAAGAAATTGGGGGGGGGGGGGCAGACATACGAAGATAATCTTTATTTAAGTATTAAGAATTTTAGTTCTGCAGAATAAACCTCAGAAAGTAGAAAGTTATAATTTAAGAATCTAAAATATTGTCTTTTTTTTTTTTTTTTTAAAGTTTTATAGGAGAAATGCACGTGTATTAGTGTAGGATTAGGTTTTCTCACTTTCAGTAATAATTCATTCATTAGCTTACCTTGAGGCATTCGATGTTGCAGTGCAGATGGATTTTTTTACGTTTATTGTTTATTAAATATTGTTTAGATCATTTCTATAAGAAATAAGAAAAAGTAAATAAAAGTTTCACCCCTAGCATTTACAAAAGAATATTTTCAACAATCCTAAAAAAAATTCAAAGGCTTGAAGTGGAAAACAGTTGGGTTTTTTTTTCCATCGGTAATAAAAAAAAATTTATAATGCTATTCACACGAATGGTTACATTTTATTTATTTATGATTTAATTAAAACACTTATATAATTTTGATTTTGAGTGGCGCTATAAGGTTAACCAACTCAAACTGAAATAACAGATTTTATTTTTTATTTCAACGTGTTGATGTACTTTTCATTTCAATGAAATGAATTCTATGTCGGGGTGATGTAAAAAATGGATTTTAAATGAAAAGTGCTCAATTATCAAGAAAATTAGGTAGTTGTTAAAAATTAAAACTAAACAAAAAACGGGATTTTACAGTTGTTATTAGTAAGATAATTTATTTTAATTTATTATTTCTTTATTTTTTTTAATATATTATATTTTGATTACAACTTTAAAAAGAAAAAAAACATTTTTTTCTGCTTTCCTTTTTATATAGAATTTATTTTTACAGTGGAAAATTCATTTCCTCATAAGAAAAACATGTTTTCTTTCTTTTTTTCAGTCATATGACTGAATTTTCAATTTGTCATTCATTGTCATCATGCATCATGTTTTACTTTTGAGAAAACAACCTCAGGACGATTTTAACTTTTTTTTTTTTTTTTTTTTTTCCCATTTACTACTAACTAAGCGCTAAATAAAGATACACTTGATAAAAATTTAAAAACAAAAAATTCGGTTTTTATTTCACCGTACCTTTTGGTATACTACCATTTATTTTTTTCATGAAATCTCTTAAAAAAATGCGGATTAAATTAAAAAAAACAAAAAAAAAACGATTTTTTTTTAAAGTAAAAACACCTGTTAAAATACGCACAAACCTCCAAACAGATTAACCCTATACGTGAAACATAGATATTAGAAATAAATTAAAAAAAAAAAAAAATTGAAAACATTGAACAACCTTTGTTGACGGATTCTGTCGACAGTATAACGGGAATTTTCATGTCCAAAATTGTACATTTCACTGCATTCTGGATTTGCTGAAGACGAAGAAGGGACCTCATGGCGAGGAGGCGAGAATGACGTGGAAGAAGAAGACTTATAGTACGAATGATATAGAAGGTGATGATGTCTGGTGTTTTCACCGGTTATTACATTTCCATGCCGGGAAGACACAGAACAGTCTGCGGACGAGAAAGACACTTTAGACTCAGCAGAAGAAAGCGATGAACTGGAAGACAAAGGCATTACATCCTTACTGGAACTGGCCATGTTGCTGTTTTGAATACTGACTGAGTTATTAAAGATCCGGTGCGATGCGGCTAATAATCCATCTCCTTCGTCTTCTTTTTTATTTTGGAAATGTTGGTGGCGGCTTTTCTTTTCATGAGTCATTACTCATTATTTTCTTCTACTAATAAAGAATTAACTCGTGAGATTAAAAGTGTTATCTCTAAGAAGGAGAAATTAAATGTCTTCTTTTTTAAAAAAACTATCAGATATATGACGACATGTTTGGCCCCTAAGATCGGGAAAAACGCCCCAAATAGATAGTTTAAAATATCCTGTCGTCTGATTTGGTTTAACTGATACGCAACTCTAACGCTAGCTCCGCATTAATAATAATAAGCCATTCTTATAAGTTGTCGACTAAAAATAAAAATATAAAGAAGTTCTAAAAATTTAAAATATAAAAATTAGTTGATAAATTCCACAAAAATATTTTAATACTGTCGATTTTTCTTGCTTAAAAACCATTTTAAACAGTTGTTTATTAACTTATTCTAAGCCGCGCTTTTGAATTTGGTGAAAGGCGCAATTTTTATTGTCCCTTAGTTACATAACAAGGGGAGATAACTCAAAATAATGCTAAGTGTTGCTAAGGACAATTTAAATGTAAGTTCTTTTTTATTTTTTTAATCATTTCACCTCAAGCAAGACACTAAAACGCAAGGAATTACTGAGTGTTGGAGAATATGAGAAAAGATACTATTAAGGAGAGAGAACAATGAAAAAAGAATTAAGAAGATAATCAACATTACATTTAAACTTTCAAAGATAAAACCTAACTGGAAAGCAAGAAGTCAGAAGAGAGTTCCACAAGCGAGAAGTGCAATAGAAGCTGTTAGCATAGAACTTACAGTTACATCTAGCCATTTCAACTGTAAAATGATGTGAACTTACTGCCAACCTGGTACCACACTTAAATTCATAAAGTCTAGGTACCATAGAGGAAAATAATATTTATTTTTTATAATAATAATACAAAAATGTGGCACACGGCTGAAATGGGGAGATGAGGGAAGACTGGTCTTATTTTAGACTTAGCTAGCTAAAATCACTGACCCAAGCAAACTACATTATTCCTTGTATCAAAACAACACATTCTTACTTACCATTCTTACCACAATACTTCAGAGTCTCTATGAAATCCTAACTAGTCCCTATCTGTATAGAAAAGTTCATCGAAATAATTACCATGAAAGTATTTATAGAAATGGCACAGGGAAGTTACGTTACAGTGATGGGAAAGCTGAAACTGAGATGCCATGTTGGGACCAATAACATTACAAGTTTTTCTTTGGATTTTATCAAGAATCTCTAAATATGTAGCAGGAGCACCACATCATATGTGGCTGCAAGTTTTAAAGCATGGATGAATGGTAGACTTATAAATGTGCAAGATAGTTTCTGGAGAGAAAAATGGTTTAACTGGTAAAAAGAGTAGAATCTAAAGACACAATATAAGTACCCAGTTAGGCACCTTGGCATGGTGTATGTTGTGTAGGAACCTACCACCCCTCTTGAAGATGAACTCGTCTACAAACAAGGACGTTAAATAGTGGCATGTCAAAAGAGTGTAGAAGAAGTTCTGAGCTGAGTTAGTTATAGACTACTCAGGCGATATCTGTACCAACTTACCAACCGAATAAACCCCATTTTATTGTTACATGTTATTTGGCGTTTGTCTTTATTAACCCCAAATTAACATCATAACAGTGTAACAGTTAGCAAGCTTATCTTGCTAAAACAGTTATGACTGATTAGTGAGTTCGATCCTTACTGGGTGCCCCATACTTTCGGCCTTGTGCCACATTCAAGCTACACTTGGAAAATCACTATAAGTTCCCAGTTCTCCAGAGACTCATTTTCCCCAGATAGATGGAAAAGATGGTTTCCTCCCTACTTTTATTTATTTTACTTTATTTTGGAGTTTACTCATCAGGGCCTTCCTATTAATGTTCAGTAGTATCAATTGCAAAAAAACAGAATGCATGGTTTTTAGCAAAATTAACAGCCTAATATGCAAATTACAAATTAGAGATACCAAAATCAAAACAAGTACAACAATTTACATATCTGGGAAATGTTTTAACAGAGGATGGAATGTGCAGCACATAAAGCTGAAGGTGCATTGGGATAGTGAAAGATGCCTTTCAAAAGCTAAACAAAGTAATAAGAAACAGAGGAATTTTGCTAGAAACAAAAAAAGAATACTGAACTGTTACATAATATCAGTCTTCCAATATGGCAGGACAATTTCCTCACAGATGAAGAAGTGACTTGAAAGCAACAGAAATGTGGTTTGACAGAAGGATGCTGAGAATATTTAGGAAAGATAACAAAAAGATAAAAATTATCAAGAGCTAAAAAGGAAAGGAAATTGTGGAGAGCCATGATCACCAACATCCTGAAGTGACATGCCACATTGAAGAAGAGTACATTTATTAATTGTTGTATATAAATATGGAGATTTTTAAGCCCAAAGAGTAAATATTGTTAAGTTCTTTTGGTAAAGAAATTATGTATAGAGAATGATCAATAGGTCAGGTTGATTTTGAAACTGTGCTATTGCACTAAATTTGGAAGTTGGGGTTTGACATGACAAATAACAGCACAAAATATTTTTTCCAAATCATTATCAATTTTTGAGGGAACAAGTTCAAAGATTAAATTTAGGTTAAAAATTGGAGTGTTGGAATTTCATTCCATTGATCAGTGAAAACCCAATAGCACAACCTTATAAAATTTATAATTGAAATACAAGGAACAACCATTAACAAGTTTATGTGAATGGATCACAGTACAGGGACAAAAAGAGGTAGTAAGTGAGCAAAAGTTACTTAGAGTTATGATCACCACAGTCTGAAAAAACTTGGCACATAAAAGAAGAAGCCAATTATATTACAAAGAAAGAGTATATAATATGAAGCACAACTCTCCTGGACTTAAGACAAATGGTCATGATAATGATAACAATAGGATTATGTATTTCCTTATATCAGATTGTGGCCAATGAATGACCACAACTTGACAATGGTGTTTGTTTTGGTGCTGATTTATGGTGTGTTCTAGATTGAAATCTTGCATCATTCAGTTGCCAGTCAGGCTTTATTGAATGTTGACATTTTGTCCCTAAAGGAATGTCTTAAAGCAGTGTTTCCCAAAGGGTGTGACGTACTTCATAGGTGTGGTGGAAGAGGTTAGCAGGTGAGATGGAATGATTGAAAGACAAGCAAAGATTTAGAAACAGTTTCCAAAAACTTATATGCTAAAAATAAATATTCAAAATTTAAAATATTATTATGGATTACTTGTAATTGTATGCATGAGATTCAATATAAATAGTTATAAATAATAATTGACTGATTTTATCATTGTGATATTTTTGCATTATATTAAGTATGATATGTCCCAGAAAGGGATATATTTGATCAAAGTAGCTAAGTGGGTTTTGGCTACTGTAACCAAGTAGTACACGGTAACAGTAATCGACTGGTACTCGTCATAGTCGCAGGTAATAGTGTAGACCAATAGAATGGCCAATGGCATAGTTCAATGGGCATCGGCATAGACTTAAACTCTGTCGTACCTACACATCCAACTGTATTTTTGACGGACACCAGCCAATCATATTCCATTGAGGGGGAACTCAGGTGTATGCATATTCCATTATATCAAAGTATTAAGAATATAGAAAACTGGGTTCGCAAATTGGAGGAGAGAGTTATCAATGATAATGTCCTGTCTTTGAATCCAGGGTTATCTTCCTTTAACCCTCTCTCTGTTTTTTATTTTTATCACATAAAATTTGATGAGGAACAAACTAATTTTCATTCTGAAAATGCATCCCAGAGAAAAAAAATTTGGTAACCACTGCCTTAAAGTTTGTTTTATTTATTACCATTTTAACCAGTCTGGTACAAGACCCACTAAAATTTTAGGAATCTCTTGTAAAGAAAATAAAACTCTATCATTGATATTTTAGAACAAAGAATTCTGACCAGATATCAACAGTATTTTTTTTTTTTAATTACTTTGCCTGAATAAAAAAAAATCAACTTGTGACAAAGTTCTTGTTGGAGTCTCTTTGTAAACCAAAAGAAAAAGAAAGACATTTTAGTCTGTAATTTAAATTTATTTAATATGACATCTCTTCCAAGATTTTTATGACTGATTAAAGTATAATTCAAGACTTTCAGAATCAATTTGTGTGATGAATTGAGTATGAAAGAGGAAATCTGTATCTTAAAGTATTTTTCAATTGTCTGAAAAGAATTTGTTTCAAATTAGATTCTTTTCTAGTAGAAAATGATTTCAAATTGACACTGACATTTGTTTTGGTGGTGAACAGCCCCATTGAAGCAAGCAAGCCAGAGTGGTTTGCATCTGGTGCATAGGAAAATAAGGATCTTAGCTTAACGGGTGGCACGTGAAATAAGGGTCTTACCTTAACGGGTGGCATTGGCAAGTTTGCCCCATGAAAATGGCATTACTCTCTCATCTAGCAGTATGTGCAGTAATGTGGGTTTTTGTACAGTTTGGCATGCTTCCACTAATAGCAAGTCGTGTGCTGATTGGTCGAACTGGAGGAGGCTATTTGCCTGGGTAACTGAGAATAAAAGCGAAGAACGCTGATTGGTTGGTCAACCGCAGTGTTGGCTTGATAAAAGAGGGCTGAAGCAGTGAAAAGGGCAGAAGGAAAGACGGATATACATTGTGATATGTTCAGAAAGCAAGGACGGTGAATTGAACCAGCAGTATCTTGATTTGTACAAGTGACATCATAGCAATACAAACTTATTTAAACTACAGTTTTTTGACATACTCTAGATTGAAACCTTGCATCTATAGTGTCATGAGGCTTAGGGGTTAAAATAAACAATTGATTTACACATACCAAACAGATTAATGAAGGATGATAATGATGAGGAAACATACAGGTAATTTTAACAAAATTAAGAATT